GCAATACAGATGCTTGGGATGATCAGCAAGCTTGCTGGTTTTAATTTGTTCTATGTGGAGTTGTTGATAGCTGCAGATAATCTAAGAAAATATTTGTTGCTTTGTGAAATTTTATACTTGGTTTTCCACTCTTGCATTCAGTAAGAGAATGGATGTTAAAAGAAGATACTTTCTCTGTAGAAGTTATTTATTCAGATAAGATAAACAAGCAATTTGCATAATATATATATATTTTTCAGTCAACAAGACACTTCTCACAATGATGATACCTTCAACCAAAACAACAGAAATTCACAGTCACCAAGATCTCCTCCAACTTCACCTACTGAAGAGGTAGGTTTAGGTTTGCTGGACATTTTGCTGTGATCCAGAGACATTATTATTCCATTAGAGTGAATTGCACTAGAAATACCTAAAATTGAGGGCATTTACTCTTTATTAGATGCACTTCATTTTTTTCAAGTAGTGGTAGTCTGAAGAATGAAAAGTGACTTGACTGCTATCCACTGTTTGTCATGACAATTGTTCATATTTTTTTTAACAGGATGTGGAAAAATGAGTTAAATGAAAATATTTTTTATTATTATTATTTATTTTTTTTTTTGAGATGTAAAGCGACATGACACAAGTGTGGGTCAGTGAGAGGGAAGGTCTTTCTTGACACTGAAAGGTCTTATTAGGGCAAATATAGTATAGGAAGGATGAAGCAAGAAGAGAGGAGGAGAAGAAAGAAAAGAAAGAGAAATGGAAAGAAAGGAGGGAGTTGAGAGGGAAAATAGAGGAGTGAATTACGTATGTGGTGAAAGATGTGAAGATAAATATGAAAGAAAGAAATTTAAATGCAGTTGAGAACAAGTGACGAGAGGGGAGAAGTAGAGTAAAAAAGAGTAATAGACACAAAGGGGTAGAGGAGGAGTGGGAAGGGTAGAGGAAGGAAAGGGCCAGGAACAGAAACAGAAACAGGGACAGGGACAGGGACAGGGACAGGGACAGGGAGATGAGAAGGAAAGGGAGAGAAGTGAAATGAAAGGGAGAGTGAGAATGAGAGTGAGAATGAGAGAGTGAGAGTGAGAGGGAAAAGGAAAGAGGGAGAGGGAGAGGGAGAATGAATGAATGAATGAATGAATGAATGAATGAATGATGGAAGGGAAGGGGAGGGAGAAGAAAAGGGAGAGAAAATATATATGTAATGGTGTATGTGCTGAATTTATTTGTATATAATGTAAATTTGTATGTAATAAAAGATGCTTTCAGATATTACAGAAAATCTATTAAAGACTATTTATGGCTGCCATTATAAATATTATGAATATTGATTTTGCATTTCCTGTATTGTTGGTTAGTGGGAGAGTCACTGTTGTAGCCTCCTACACTTTGTATGTCTGTCTGCAGATTTTCAATATTTTTGATATTAGGCAATAGTCTAAAATGTGCATTTTGTAAAATATTTTTATAAAATAGAATAGATCATATTTATTTTCTGTAATTAGAGTCTGTTATGATTTTCCTGACGGAGTATAACCTTGGGTGCATTAGAGGGTCTTCCACAGGTGTACCAAAAGGCATTTATATGTAGCTTTGTCTGGCTTTAATAATCTTTTATTAATAGTGGTATTTTTGTGTTGCTTAGGGTATTTGGTGGTGGGCCAATTATAACATGCAAAAACAGGGAATCATATTTTCATGAAATGCAAAGTTGCTGGTGCACCTATGGACCTGCACCTGCTAGGTGTAGCTGTATCACAACACTAACCATGAGAAATGTCTGTGTGGTGGTCAGACCGGGCCCAGTAATGTGGTGGCAACGACAGGGCCCCATGAAGGATCCCCAGTTGATTCCCGATTAGGGTCCATAGTCCAGGAGGTGCCAGGGCTCCTCGACCTCTCCCCCACCCGACGGGATCAGGTGGTGATGAGAGATAGACAAAGTCCCGTCAAGAAGGTGAGCTGCGGGTGGTGTGCCTCACTACATCTGCCACCCCTGACAGGAATGACTTTGCACAACAAGAACATCTATGCTCTCTCATAGCTTTACATGGAGATGTACTGTGGTATAAGCTTAGTGTTATAAACTATCTGATTTCCCATAAGTCATATTGTATGTCAGATGTATTTTTTAGATCTGTGACATACAGCTTCCTACTGTGTATGAATGGCATATGTATATTTTATATTAGCCAAACTTAATTGCTTCTTGTTATGTGCATTGTACACAGATAGCAAGCTTTGATCTTAAGAATGGCCTTGAGTTATCTTTGCTTGTATTTAATTATAGATGCAGTAATAGAACTTTGGAAGTAGAATGAAAATTTACTGAATAAAGCATGCAAGAGTATTTACGTTAGCCATACATTAATTTGAATATCAATGTCTTGACTGAGTTACTTTGTACCAAAGGTTAAGATAAAGAAAATGTCAAATATAATATATTCTCTCTTTATTATAGTTTTGAATATTATGGCACTAAGTCTTCTGATAACTGTCTTATTTCTGGATTTCTTTTTTCCTCTCATTTTCTTCCTTTGTAGCTAAAACCTCCACCTTTGGAAAACCAGAGAAGAAATGTCTGCAGTGTACAAACAGCAGCCACCATGCCAAAGACTGGTGAAATGCCAAAGTCTAACAATCCTTTGAAACAAAATACTAAAAGTGGAGCCAACCACACTTCTTCAAGTCCTCAGAGGCAACAGTCTGCTAGTAAAAAGACTCAGAAAACTGATAATCCAAGTGTTGCTATGCCTATGAGGGGTGACAGCCCAGAGACAAGTGATATTACCTATGCAAGATTCCAGAATAATGACTCAAGTCCATCTCGCAGAAAATTTTCAGCAATGTTAAAGGGAACTACAAAGAAAACCCCTGTTGCAAATGATGCAAAAGTCAAAAGCTTACCTCTTACAAGTCCGAAAGAAAATAAAAAAACAGTTCAGTCAAAATCAACAAAGCCATTTTCAAACTTTAGAGAAAAATTAAAGAAAAGTAGTTCAACCTCAAAGGAAACTTCATCAAGTAAGAAAGATGGTGCTTTATCTAGGAACACAGGTGGTCATAATGTTATAGGTAGAACTGAAATGAAAAAAGGAACAAAGTCAGAAAGTGCTGTATCATCTACAGTGTCTAAAGGGAAAATGGACCAAAGGTTAAATGTTGAAAAGTCCAGTATAACTTCTAAAACAGGGAAATCCCCAAATGTTAGTCATAAGAATAACAAAATAGATAAATCCAATAATAAAGCCAATTCTAAAAAGGTTCGTGATACAGGCGATAAACTGACTCTGCAGACAGAGCCAAAATTAGAAAAGTCAGACAGTTTTAATGTCACTATGGCAGAATATGGTTTAAAAAGAGAAGCTGTATTCTCCTCTTCCTCTGCTGCAAGAGAATCTGTTTCTGTGAATGTTACAAAATCTTTAACAGATGAAACAAATAATTCTGTGTGGGAAGAGCAGTCTCAGTCACAGACTCTTCCCAAAGACTTTGTTATGTCTTCTTGGGCAAAGTTTGAAGACTTTGATTGGGATAAATGTCAGGGAACTGTATCTCAAAGTATTTCTGAAGGTGATATATATGAATGCTTTGATGTAAAGTTGAAAACAAGTAAAGAGGTTAATGACATCACTGAAACTGATAATGAAGGTTCTGATAGTAGGAAATTAGATCAGGAAGTTATTGATTCGACAAGAAATACAGATATTAAACAAGATACAGGCAGAGACAAAATGATTGTTGAAGATAGTACCACAAAAGAGAAAGGAGATGTTATAGAAGAAGATGATAAAAGTCCTGAAGATGCCAATGTTGAGCAAGCCAAAACTCAGCCAAATGATGACAGCCAAGAAAGTGAAGCAACAAAAGTTGTATTAAATGATGAAAATTCTGAAAGGAAATCTAGTCTTGATGTTCCTTCTCTTCCACCCAAGAAGCTAAAAGAGGTGATGCTGAACTGGGTTTCATTCGAAGATTCACAGGAAAGCCAGACAGTAAGAAGGGAGAAGGCAGAAAAAGAAGATAATGTAGAAATGGAGCAGAATACAAAACTTGATCCTGAAAAAGCATATGAAAATGTCTGGTTTAGTTCGGGACCATGTGACACACCAACACCTTTTGATGATCAGTGTGATGAAGAATTTAAGGTTTATGCAAGTGTGAAACCTTTGGTGATGATACCAATGAGTCATCCTCTTTTGAAATGGAAGGAGATCCTTTTGCAAAAATTATAGAGGAACTGTAAAAGACACCACCAGGCAGTGAAGAGAAAGGGCAGTCAAGTCCCTGCTACTGTGTTGTCAGAGCAAGGAATTTCATTGTTTGTGGCCCTGCAGAAGAAGTCATGACAGAAACCTATGAGTTTGACCGGATATTAAACTAGATATAGCCCCGCGCTCAGCTAACATGCTTTATGTAGATTTGAAATTGATTATAAAGGTTTTGCTAAAGTTAATGAAAGATGCAGAGTATATATGTTTAGCACACCTCTAAAACTGCAAATAGAAGAGTTCAGACAGGAATTTGTAAATGAAATTCCAGTTTTAGAGCATTCATATACTTCTCCAAATATGTTAGTGGAGCCAGCCTCAGAAGTATTTGAAGCTGTAGACATGTCAGCACCAGTGTGGATAGATTTAGAAGTTCCTTCATTAATACATTCACATGCTGTGTTGCTTGATGTGGAAGCAGAGCTGCATCAGAAATACTCAGTCAGTGAAATTGAAGTAAGTTTATCAGAGATGGTGAACTCAACTATTATGACAGCAATACCAGGTGAAAAGGGTAATGTGAAAGAAAAAGAGATGGTCTAAAGAAGATGATAAAGGTCCTGAAAATGCCAATGTTGAGCAAGCCAAAACTCAGCCAAATGATGACAGCCAAGAAAGTGAAGCAACAAAAGTTGTATTAAATGATGAAAATTCTGAAAGGAAATCTAGTCTTGATGTTCCTTCTCTTCCACCCAAGAAGCTAAAAGAGGTGATGCTGAACTGGGTTTCATTCGAAGATTCACAGGAAAGCCAGACAGTAAGAAGGGAGAAGGCAGAAAAAGAAGATAATGTAGAAATGGAGCAGAATACAAAACTTGATCCTGAAAAAGCATATGAAAATGTCTGGTTTAGTTCGGGACCATGTGACACACCAACACCTTTTGATGATCAGTGTGATGAAGAATTTAAGGTTTATGCAAGTGTGAAACCTTTTGGTGATGATACCAATGAGTCATCCTCTTTTGAAATGGAAGGAGATCCTTTTGCAAAAATTATAGAGGAACTTGTAAAAGACACACCAGGCAGTGAAGAGAAAGGGCAGTCAAGTCATGCTACTGTGTTGTCAGAGCAAAGGAATTTCATTGTTTGTGGCCCTGCAGAAGAAGTCATGCAGAAACCTATGAGGTTTGACCGGATATTTAAACTAGATATAGCCCCGCCAGCTACACACAAACTTAAAAGCTGCACAATTGAAAGTAATTGCAGTTTCATTGCCTCTTCTGCAGAACATTGGGAACTTGAAAGTCATGGGGTGATTCCTGTAATGAAACATGATTTTGAATATGCTTTATGTAGATTTGAAATTGATTATAAAGGTTTTGCTAAAGTTAATGAAAGATGCAGAGTATATATGTTTAGCACACCTCTAAAACTGCAAATAGAAGAGTTCAGACAGGAATTTGTAAATGAAATTCCAGTTTTAGAGCATTCATATACTTCTCCAAATATGTTAGTGGAGCCAGCCTCAGAAGTATTTGAAGCTGTAGACATGTCAGCACCAGTGTGGATAGATTTAGAAGTTCCTTCATTAATACATTCACATGCTGTGTTGCTTGATGTGGAAGCAGAGCTGCATCAGAAATACTCAGTCAGTGAAATTGAAGTAAGTTTATCAGAGATGGTGAACTCAACTAATAAGACAGCAATACCAGGTGAAAAGGGTAATGTGACAGAAAAAGAGATGGATCTGGATGAGAATAATGAGAGTGCTGTCATTAACTCCCCAGTAGAAGAGTTTACCGTTAGAGATTTTAATGATATTGCAGTGTGCCTTGATGATCAAATACTTTCAAGTACAGAGGAAGAAAATAGAGTAGATTATACACCCTTACATGAAGAGAAAGAATTCAGCATAGTAAATCCAAAAGAAGCAGACCTTCAAACAGAATTCATAACATTTCCTAATGACAAATACATTGATAATGATCACCCTGTTGATTTAACTGTAGTAGAAGCTATTGACTCTAGAGATAATAAAGTAAAGATAGGTTCACCTTTAAAAACCATAGATGATCAAATAGTGGAAAATGTTAATGTAGGTGTTGCAGAGAGTTGTCAGCAAGGTGAGAAACAGGATAAAGATATGCACCTTGAAGAGAATAGATCCAGCTTTAACAAAAGCCAAAAGGGTGTTATAAATAAGAAGGGCCTTGACTTGTTGCATGCACTAGAGAGTGTGGAAGAGGTAGAATTAGAGGCTGTGGCACAAGAGTTATCATTGGAATCTGAAACCAATGTAACATTTGTTGAACCTGGAAATATCAGTACGTTTGTAGAACCAAGAAAGATAAAGTTCGGTGGAATTGATACATTTAAGATAGAAGAAGTCAGAGTTGAAGATGATAAGATATTTGAACAGGATATGGAATTTATAGTGTCAGATGGAGAAGCACCATCTGCCCTCAAAATACCACAGATACTTATTCATGCACCAAGTGATGAAATGCTATCACAAGATGAAGGAAAAGATGTGACAAATGAGGAAGAATTATCTACTGATCAGAATTACTTGCAAACTAATGATTATGATGATGATGATGATTATACTAGTGATATGGAAGATATTCCTGTATGTTCATTGGCTGAAGAGGAAATGCTCAGAGCACTTATGCATGCATCTGCAGAGGAAGCTACACAAGAATTTATAGATGTTTTTGTAGTGTTCAAAAATCAGTATCAGCTTCCAGAAAGAGTACAGGCCAAAATGAAGAAGGTGGAAAAAGAACCATTTATACATGCCATTGTAGAAGAGGAAATGGCATTCATATCTTTGCAAAACTTGGAAGTTGAGGATAATTCTGAGCAAAGTGGAACAGTACCTGAGAAGCATATGTCTGTGTCAGATTCTGATGTTTCACATATAAGAGTTGCTGCAGAAGAAGTATGCTCAGTTACTCATGAATTTACAAATGACTTGCAAGCATATGAATTACCTGAAGTGGTACAAAGTATAGAAACTTATGAACCAGAAAAACTCATGATAGCAGAAGAAGATACTCTGGATGCTATTGAAGTAACATCAGACATTATTGATATTTCTGTACCAGTAGTGTCAAAGCAGCAGGAAATGGAATATAGGTCCAGTAACGAAGATAATTTTATTCATGAATGTAAACCCTTATGTGATAATACACAAAGTGAAGTTGATAATTCTAAAGAGGAAAAGTATGTTTATGCAGTTAAGAAGGATGATATCCAGGAATTTGCTTCTGAACCCAATGTGTATGTGATTCCTTCCAAAGAA